CATGCTGCGATCCAAAGAAATTCAGGAACAAATGAGAAACAAAGTAATTGAGATCTATCAGTCTGGAAAAGGTTACAAAGCCATTTCTAAAGCTTTGGGACTCCAGCGAACCACAGTGAGAGCCATTATCCACAAATGGCGAAAACATGGAACAGTGGTGAACCTTCCCAGGAGTGGCCGGCCGACCAAAATTACCCCAAGAGCGCAGCGACGACTCATCCAAGAGGTCACAAAAGACCCCAGAACAACATCCAAAGAACTGCAGGCCTCACTTGCCTCAATTAAGGTCAGTGTTCATAACTCCACCATAAGAAAGAGACTGGGCAAAAATGGCCTGCATGGCAGAGTTCCAAGACGAAAACCACTGCTGAGCAAAAAGAACATAAAGGCTCGTCTCAGTTTTGCCAGAAAACATCTTGATGATCCCCAAGACTTTTGGGAAAATACTCTGTGGACTGACGAGACAAAAGTTGAACTTTTTGGAAGGTGTATGTCCCATTACATCTGGCGTAACAGTAACACGGCATTTCAGAAAAGGAACATCATACCAACAGTAAAATATGGTGGTGGTAGTGTGATGGTCTGGGGCTGTTTTGCTGATTCAGGACCTGGAAGACTTGCTGTGGTAAATGGAACCATGAATTCTGCTGTCTACCAAAAAATCCTGAAGGAGAATGTTCGTGTAGGTTTGGATTTGTTTTCCCCCTTAATAATAAAAACCATTTAAAAACTGCATTTTGTGTTTACTTGTGTTATCTTTGTCTATGTGCATGTGTGTATATATATATACATGTATATATATACATGTATATATATACATGTGTATGTATATACAGTTGTGTGAAAAAGTGTTTGCCCCCTTCCTGATTTCTTATTTTTATATAAGAATAAATACGAATTTTTACTTCATATTTAATTTATTACAAAATGCCCTTCTTTAGAAATCTGGGAAAATATTATGAAAAAAAATGATTTACTGTTGCTTATTTGTGTTTTTACTTTGTTGTCTGGGCTGTTTGGATCTTTCTCTCTCTATATACTGTATATGTTTTAGGTCCTTTTGTTGTTCAGTCTACAATGAACATTTATTTAAACCAGATGTTGAATCAAAAACCTAATCAAATATAAACTAGAGTTTATTCTGTGATCCGTCTTCACTCTGGTGTTAAACTCAGTCAGTCAGTCTGATCGGCTGCAGCGTCCAATCACATAACTGATGAACAATGAGGGGGCGTGTCGGCAGTTAAAACACCGTTAAAAGTCTGTTCTCGTGGTTCCTCGATCATGGCTCCTCTGACATCTCTCCTCCCTCCTCGATTTAAATTTATTTATTTTTATGTTATATAATGTATATAAATTATAAATAAATATAATATCATTTATATACATATATTTTGCATATAAATTATTTTTCTGTATATTTTTACATGATACAATGTATATAAATATATATATTATAAATACATATAATATTATATACTTGTAAATATATATTTATTTTATGCATATGAAGTACTATATATATATATATATATATATATATAATAAATGTACGAGATTATTGGTCAATAACAAGCACATGAGTAGTGTAACATTGTAGATATTTAATGGTTAAACAAATAATGCAATAGAACGACAGACACACACACATTCACACACACACACACTCTCACACACACACACACACACACAGATGTGTATCATGCTGACAGAATAACATTTCATAAACATCTCAAACAGGATTTTTTTGTTTTTTACAGGATTTTGAAAATATTTTGGGGTGAATCTGTACAAAGACTTTGGTTGAACATCTGCTCCTCGAGTGTACAATATACATATTTAGATTACTCTAATTTAAATACTAATTTGGCTAAAATGAGTATCAAAAAATAGTTTGTACATCACTGACGTGTCACATGACACCATGGACACACACACAACTACACAAAGATCACTGGTATGAAACAGATCTTTAAATATTATAAAAGGTCAAAGGTCAAATGTTCAGACGCGTCGGATAGAGAGCCGAAGTTCTGATCCGATCACAGATCATTTAAATATTTATGGTAATAAAGATGAGATGTCTGTTTGATCTGTTTTTGCTTCCTTATGTTTGTACATTTTATTTTGTTTAAATATTTTATTTGTTGTGAAGTAAAAATCCTGCATTTACAATTTTACTTCAATAAAAAGCACAAAAGTATCAGCATACAAATATACTGTAAGTACAAAAAGTAAAAGTACTCATGCAGAATATTATATATATTATTATTATTGATGCATTAACGTGTTCGTCACTTTAAAGGAGGAGCTTTTATATAATCTATAATATTATATCATCATTTATTAGTGGATTAATAATCTGAACATGTAAAAATATCAGTAAAAAGTACTACATGTACCTCTGAGATGTAGTAGAGTACAAAGTACAATATCTAGCTCTCAGATAGTAGTAGTCTAGTAGGAGTATAAAGTAGAAGAAAATGTACAAGTACCTCCGATGTGTACTTCTACAGGTCTTAAAACTGACGTCAGGAATTCGGCTCTCTCTCGCGTCATAAAGATAAACTTCATGTAACAATATTAGAGTTTAACAATAATCGGAATAATGTTTCTGGTCCAACTTTAGTTTGGTTTCAATAAAACAACGATGACACAAAAAGTTTCCAGCTGGACTTGAAACCTTGAAGCAGAGACTTCAGTGCTGGTGTAGAAGCGTCTTCTTCTCCTCTTGTTACTCTTCCTGAGTTTGAGGGAGAACGTTTGTCTTCACTCCAACATGGCGTCCAGCTGGTCGGCGAGGTCGTCAAACATGTTGCCGATGTCGTCCAGAATCGTGCCGGCGGACTTCACTGTGTTGGATCCACTGGACGGAAAAGAAAACAGGACAAACAATTAATGTTAAAAGATGAAAGTCAACACGTCTTTATGTGGATCTCCAGTCAGAGTTGATGGTAAATGTAGTCCATTGCAGTTCCCTGTAGTCCAGTGCTGCTGGATAGACTCAGAGAGAGTTCAGAGCTGCAACCTTAAACCTGCATTCTCTCTAGTGTCCAGCAGGGGGCGACTCCTCTGGTTGTATAGAAGTCTATGAGAAAATGACTCTACTTCTCTCTTGATTTATTACCTCAGTAAACATTGTAAACATGAGTTTATGGTCTCAATCTCTAGTTTCAAGTCTTCTTCAATACAGCATGATGTTCATTTAGTACATTATGGTCCATTTAGAGTCACACAGACCATAAAGCAGGGGATGCTTTAGGGCAGGGCTACTGTGATTGACAGGTCTCTACCAGAGACGTATACGGCGTCTCTACATCACTCCTCCTCAGTCCATATATGGTCACTTCCTGTTCACTGGTTGCAAAAAAGTCAAGATGGCGACAGCAAAGCCGCCGAACTCGAGGCTTCAAAACTCATCTTTCTGGGTCAATAAAGCAGCTCTGAGGAAGTTATCGCTTCAGTCGACTACATCTACCATCAACACTGACTGGAGATCCACATAAAAAGGTGGCAGATGGTAAATTTTCCTGCTACCGCTCCCTAGAGGAGGCGGAGTTCATTACAACTCACAATATTTACTGGTGTATTCTGAAATGACTCCATCTTACCCGTCTGAGTTGTCCTCCAGTTTTCTCTCCACAGCCTTCAGAGCCGCTTCCAGAGACGTGCTGGTCTGATCCAGTCTCTGCTGAACCACCTCGGTCCCACAGGGCGACTCGGGAACGCTACCCGGACCCACCACGCAGACCTGGGGCCTCGCTGCTGTCAGAAAGGGACTCTGAGGGGCCTGAGGAGACGGAGCTCGGGGCCCGTAAACGGGAGAGGACGGAGAGGTGAAGGCCACACTTTGAACCACACTGATGGTCACCGATGGACAGGAGAGGCCAGCTGCTGGGGAGACAACTGCAGGTGAGATACCAATACCAAGTCCCAAGTCAAGACCAACAAGTCCTAAATCAAGACCAACAAGTCCAAGTCAAGACCAACAAGTACAAGTCAAGACCAACAAGTACAAGTCAAAACCAGGAAATCTCAGTCAAGGGCAATAAGTCCTTGACATTTCAGAAATCAAATCACCTCCAGATATGGTTCATGTTGTTCACTGAAGACCCCGTCATGATTTAAACATTTAATGATTTAAATCTGCTCTGGTTACAAAGGTAACTAAAGTTTTACAGACTTGGACGTTTGATACTGTACAGTTTGTCTTTGGCTCAGGTGAGATGGAGACACTCAACACTGTACAGCGAGCATCTTACCTTGTGCTGTCAGCAGACTGTGACGGACTGGTTTTGGGGCGACGGCAGGTTTTGGGGAGAGTGGAGGTTTGATGGGGGATCCCGTTGCCTGACTGGCCGGCCTCTCCAGACCGACCTCACTGATCCTCAGACTGACCTCATCCCGGCTCAGGGATGGAGGCCTGCTACTGCCGGACTCTTCCCCCGCTCCCTCTCTGCAGGGGGAGCTTCCTCCCTGCTCCTTGTCTCTGGGTTTGTGACGGCGCTTCACTGTGTCCGACTCCTTCAGGTTAAACTCGGGCACCTCCTCCTGGCTCTTGGCGGCTTGTTTCTCTGGAGGCTCCAGCACCGCCTCAGCCCTGGGTGGCCCCGGAGCTTTCGGCCTCTGTTTGATAGTCAAGTTGCCCTCCTCGGCGAAGGGGATGCACTCGCTGGAGCCGTTCTGAGAGGATGATGAGCCCTCCAGTCCGCGACCTTTTGATTCTTCTTCCTCAGATTCGGACTTTACCCCTCGTTCTGGCTCGGTGCTGCTGCTGCCGGTGTGGGTGGGAATACATTCGCTCTGCACCCTCCTCCTCACCGTGACAGCATCTCTGGGCTCCTGTCCTGCAGGGTTGAGGGAGGGGGAAGGTGGCGGCTCGTGCTGGACTCGGACTGGTTTAGGTCCTGGGGAGTTCTTCCCCTCAGTCTTGCCTTCCAGAGAGGCTGCGATGCTCCTCACGCTCACTGGACTGTCTGTTATCGCACCGCCAAAAGACGACGTTGTGCTGCTGTCGCTAAGCTCCCCGCTGGTGGTGCTGCTCACTGAGCTCAGTCTCTTGGGAGGAGGAGGTGGGGGACCTTTTTTCCGGGCGCGCACTGCGAAGGACTGACTGCGTCCCACATTGCCGCTCTTCTCCGGACTCGACTGTAATCGAGCCAGCTGGCTGCGCCCGGGTTTGCGGGTCAAGGTGGCGTAGGACGAGAGGTTTCCACAATGATACGCCGGCTCCTCGTCGTCCTCGTCGGGCTCTCCATCCGACAGGGCGTAGCGGGTCACGCCCTGGGCACGCTTCTTGGGCGGCATCAGGGTCATGCTGTGATTCTCGCACCTGGGCGATGAGCTCAGGTCCGTGGAGCCACAATGAGAATGCAGGTAGCTGAAACCCTTCAGCGCTGGGGAGCCATGAGGGGACGGACCTCGAGAGCCACACAGTTTGGGCTTGGCTGGGATTGTCGGGTACTTAAACACGGTTGCCGTGCCCAGAGGCACCTGCTTGGCCAGCGGCTGCTGCTGCAGAGGCCTCTGGTCCCAGTCCTCTGGGAGGTTCCTATCCTTGGCGGGGCTGCCTTCCAGGCTCTCCTGGGACCAGCTGTGCGGGGATATGGAAGCTGTTGGAGGCTCCTGGGAGCGCCCGGAGCCTCTGGACCGTGCGTCGATGCTCTCCTGGCTCTGGGACATTCCCACGGCGGTCTTGATGGCCAAGTCTTCCTCGCAGCCTCCGTAGTGGCTGCACATGGCCGTCTGCAGCTCGGCGCTCAGCTCGCTGTCCTGGAAGGTCAGCATCTTTGGGGTGTGAGGAGAAGAGCACTCACCTGCCGAGTCAGGCGGCTCGATGGCGACCAGGTGGAGGGCTCTGGGGGCTTTGCGATGCAGCGTGCCATGGCCTGATTCGGCCTGAAGGATCGCCCTCTGGATGTCACACAGCTTCTTCACCGCCAGCATCAGCTTCTTCTGGTGGCCTGGTAGGAAAATTCAACCATCACATCAAAGTAAAAAAAACACTGGTCCCGCCTAGTGGTGTCATGCATGTGAACCGCAGATAAATTACACAGTTTAACCATCACGACATTCAGTAAAATATGCAATCAGGACATCGGCATTAATGGTTTCTACATAGTGAACCACAAATCAGTGTTTAAATCAACAGGAGGAGAGCTAGTTAGCAGCACCGCTAACGGCTAACCAACAAGGTTTTAACTGACGTCAGAGCGATTTAAACTATTTTAGGGACGGTGGTTTAAAGAGCCTTGTAGACCAGCTGTTGTAACAAAACGAAACAATAAAAATCTTCTCCGCTGATCCGATCCATGACCCAAAACCTTTTTTTGTTTTATGATCCATTGCAAACGGTCATATCGCGCCCATGCCAGAACACAATGCGTCCTCACCCAGCTTGATGATGCCGATCTCCTGCAGATCCTCCCACATGAGGTCTTTGACGATGCTCATGGAGTCGTAGCCGTTCTCTGAGAGCTTCTTGTGGTACTGTGGGAGGCCGATGGCACTGAGCCACTCGCCCAGATCGGACTGTGAAGAGGAAGAAGAAGAACAACAACAGATCTCAGATCAGTCGGTTGCCACAACGTCTGGAAAGTCTAGCAGTAAAAGCGTTGGGGCATCTTACTGGGATGTATTCAGGCAGCCACTCGGGGATGTTCAGGTTGTTGATCTCGATGGAGATCTTCTTGCGGTGGCCTGGTTTGGTCACTCCGATGGCAGTCAGATCCTGCAGGAAAAAAAGATCATCATGTAAACACCGCCACAAACAACCAGATCCAGGGTTTACTTTAACAACACTGGTCTTCATTCACCTCGGGAGTCATCCTGCTGATGGTGGGAACGTCGTAACCAGCATTGATGAAATTCCCAATATACTGATCCAGCTGGAACTCACTGAGCCACTGGTAGATGGCCTCAGCATCCTGCGACACAAAGTACAGTTTTGAAGCCTCTAGTTTTTTTTTGAAGTGACCATATCTGGACTGAGGAGGAGTGACGTAGAGATGGTGTCAATCACCGTGTAGCCCCGCCCTAAAGCATCCCCTGCTTTATGGTCTGTTTGACTCTAAATGGACCATAATGTACTAAATGAACATCATGCTGTATTGAAGAAGACTTGAAACTAGAGATTGAGACCATAAACTCATGTTTACAATGTTTACTGAGGTAATAAATCAAGAGAGAAGTAGAGTCATTTTCTCATAGACTTCTATACAACCAGAGGAGTCGCCCCCTGGTGGTCACTAGAGAGAATGCAGCTTCAACACATGAAGCTTTGACTTCACTTTAAAGAACCGGAGGTTGATCCCTGGGCCCAACAAGCCCAGTGCATTCTGGTTATTGTAGGGTTTCTACCTTTTAGGCTAAAGGGAATACCACAGCACTTGTTTCCTGTTTTCTCTGGTCATGTAGCACCAATTTCAATATATCACTAAAACAAAAGACAGTTTCTTTACCTTCCCCTCCAGCAGCTGATGAGGACGAACAAACTGCTGAGAGAAACTCTGCTCTGCAGGTCGCTGCACCGTCACCGTGTGCCTCCGAGGAGTCCCACCTGTAGAACATCACACCACACCTCAGGTGGACTTCAGAGGAACGAGATCTTACAAACATCTGATTATAGATGTTCCCCCAAGAAGGAATAGTTCTTTATTTCACTTAAACGCTCCATGAGAATGAGTTTCAGACTTGATGCCTGATATGACGAGGAAAGTTCAAACAGATTAATATCTGTGTTATTCATCTGGTGCATTGTGTTTCACCATCATCTAAAACGTGATGTTGAGGATCTTTTGATCAATAAAGAAGTGAGTCACAATTAATTAAGAATGAAGTGGTAAACCCTGGAAGAGCGACTTGAGATAAGGTGAAGTGTAATTATATAAAATGATTCTCCAAAGAAAGAATAATGTCCATAGTATCAATACAATGACTCAGTATTATCCTACAAAGTACACTGGAGTAAACACAGGACTGTATCTTGGAGTACTTAAATATAAAAGTACCTGCAGGATGATCAGGCTGTTTGATGCAGTCTGAGTTCCCAGAGTCACCAGCAGAGGGCGCCGGCTGCACACAAACACAAACATTCTAAAGAAACAAGCCGTCTAAGTATTAGAACTGTAATAATGATGTTATTCTAAATCCAAGCTGCTAAAAGCATCTTGGACATCTAGAACATCTAGAAGATTCATTCTGTGCAGGAAAACAATATTTGACCCTTTATAACTACAGATTTAGTATTATTATGTTTTATGAGTCAGCTGATTTTAAGTAGTCCCTGCCCACGTCTGTGATTCAATCTATTAAAGTTAATTAAATTAGTCATTTATGATTTTAAATATCAGTCACATGCTGGAGGGGACGGTCTGGACTACATGTGACCGTCTAAACCAGCGACTCCGCAGGTGACCCAGTGTGTGTGATGTCACTCGTGTACCTTGGTGCTGGCGATGTCATTGTGACTGGTGTTGTGTTGGACTCCGTTGGGGGTGCTGTTGCTCTCGGTGCTCTGACCGCTGCCGGCGCTCCGGGTGCTGCCGACGCTGCCGGTGCTGCCGACGCTGTTCCTGTCTCCAGCTGCAAAAAACCCACAAAACACAACAACAGTAAAGTCCTGATGTCCAGAGGGGGGGAGGGGAGGGATGGGGGAGGGGGGGGAAGTAGGAAGCAGCAGATGCTCTTCAAAGATGGCCGACGTGCCGACGGGCAGGATGCAGGTTTGTGGTCTAAAAGGCTGAGCTGTGGAGGAGCAGCTGCAGGACGGAGGTCAGAACATCAGTGAGCACACGGCGTCACAGCAGAATATCACAGAGTCGTCTCTTTTAAATCACTTCTTCAAACACATTCTTTTCTGTGATGTCATCACTCTTCTGTTTTAATTGTATTTATTTCTTAGTATATTATTGTATTGACTGTCTCACTGATCTTCTGTTGTTATTATTGTCTTGCTTTGTCTTATTATTATTATATGAACAGGAGAATATCACAATAATATAGTGGTTTTAAAGGGACTACATGTCCATGACACATATGTCATCAGAGGATCCTCAGTGAAACTCTCTTTACATTGTTTAAATGATGAGGTGAACCAGTGGCGCCCCCCTGTGGCAGCAGTGAGGACAACATCAGAGATTAGAGCCGGACATTCAGCCTGAAGCAGTGAATCAAACTGAGTGTTTTGACCCGACACACCGACAACACCGACAACACCGACAACACCGGTACTGACTTCAGATGCCTCAGGAGGTTTGTGTTCATGACTTTGAGACATGAGGCGGAGTGATATAATGTGAAGCGGCAGAGAAGTGAAGGAACATGAAGCAGCATAACGTGAAGCGTGATGAGGCGTCATAAGACAACACATGTTGTGGACAGTCGTCCCGTCTCGGGGTGTCGGGTTCTCGGGGTGTCGGGGTCTCGGGGTGTCGGGGTGTCGGGTTCTCGGGGTCTTGGAGTGTCGGGTTCTCGGGGTGGCGGGTTCTCGTGGTCTCGGGGTGGCGGGGTGTCGGGTTCTCGGGGTGTCGGGTTCTCGGGGTGGCGGGGTGTCAGGGTGTCAGGGTCTCGGGGTGTCGGGTCTCGGGGTGTCGGGTCTCGGGGTGTCGGGTTCTCGGGGTGTCGGGGTGTCAAGGTCTCGGGGTGTCGGGTCTCGGGGTGTCGGGTCTCGGGGTGTCGGGTTCTCGGGGTGGCGGGGTGTCGGGGTGTCAGGGTCTCGGGGTGTCGGGTCTCGGGGTGTCGGGTTCTCGGGGTGGCGGGGTGGCAGGGTGTCAGGGTCTCGGGGTGTCGGGTCCGGATGCAGAGCGCTGAGCGATGCAGCTTCAGAGCAGCCGGAGGAGGAGAAGCTGAATTCTTACCATGACACGAGTCCCTGAGGACCCAGATGTCCTGGAAGGGACACCTGGACTGAGACAGGCGGCTCGGAGACAAACCTATCAGACACAAAGACTCTGATGGACTGCGTTCTGTCAGGGGGGCTGACTGAGGGGGGGGCAAAGGTTAGATAGAAAAAAGGCTTCTGTTGGGTCTTTGATTGAGGACGAGGAGAGAAAGATGTTCATGAGGATCGCTGAAGACGCTTCCTGCTGGAATCAGGCTACGGTTAGAAACACACCGTAAAGTAATATATTGATCTGCACAGGTGCCACCGGATCACCTGAGAGAGAGTGTGTGTGTACCTGTGGTGTTGAGGCCGTTGGCTAGCGGCAGCACCACGTGGGTGGGGGGGGCGTACAAGGTGTAGGAGTCGTCGGTCTGAGGGGCGGAGCTTAGGCTGCAGGTGAGGGGGGCTCTGGAAGGCTGCTGCTGGCGCTGGGTGGGCAGGGAGGCGTGCCGGGAGAGGGTGCCCCCTACAGGGGGAAGACAGGGAGGGGGAGGGGGAAGGAAGGGAGGGAGGGAGGGGGGAGGTTATCAAGCTGGTGGTTAGAGGTGGAGCTCAGTCATTATGTGGATGGATGGAGCAGGAGGGAGGTGTGGGATGGTTCTAGAAGCAGGAGGATTAGTTTTGAATCTGTATCTGGTCTTCTATGAAGAGATGAAGATGTGATTCATCTATAAAGACATGTGTGGACCAGCTGATGAGTGCAGCATGACTCTTTATGTTTCTGTGTTTATTAAAGCCGGATCTTCTTCCTGTTACAAAGACCTACAATTGTTTTTGGGATATTTTTCAATATTTCTTTTAACATTTCTAACAAATCATCTTCAGACATCTTTCTGATATGTTTTACACATTTCTTGAACATTTTTCACATTTTCTTTTTTTTTGTTGGAATTATATTTTTCACAAGTAAAATAAGTAATAAAAATATGTAAAAATGTCCGAAATTATGTGAGAATGTTTTGTGAAACACATCCCAAATATCCCAAAATAATCATTATAATATGAAGAATAAATATCTGAAAACTATTATTTAAATATGTAAAACCATATCAATAAGCCTTGCTGTTCATCGCCATCATTTTACTTCAATTTATTCTGACATAAAAACACTCACTAGAGAATATGGATTCATCCGCCGCTGAAAATAGTCCCAAACAAAGTCCCTATTTCCTCCCGTTTGCCTGATAGAAACCAGAGTGAATCCCTGAGGAAACTACAGATTTGCGTGTTTTAAAGAGTGACGTCTTCAGGAGGAACCACAGCTGACGGACAGACGGACGTGTTCGTGTCTTTATTCTAACAGACGTCCTCTGTGACTGACTGACCGTTCCGTCGGCTGATCACCTCCACGATGGA